CCCCTTCCCCGCCGGACCCCCCCTTCCCCGCCGACCTCTCCTGCTTCCCCCGGGACGGCGAAGACCCCGCCGCTCCCCCCGCCGGCGATCACGGAGGCGTCCCGGCTCTTCCCGGTCCATCCGGTGCCCGCGGTCCCATCCCAGACAACCTTTTGGTAGCCACAGGGGACGAAGAAGCCACGGCTACCCCGGCTCTCCCCGACGGTGACCCCCCGGTACCACCGCGCCCCGTTTCTCCCTCCCTCTATATGTTACGGTTAACGCCCCCGCCCGGGGGGCACACCCATCCCGCCGCCGGCCGGGGCGTACATCCAAAACGAGCACAGCTACCAGGTGGGAAGCGCCTTGCTCTGGAAACGACGCGCCGAAGCCGCCCTCGACGCTTTGGATAAAGCTCAAAGGCAACTCCAAGCTTGTAAACGTCGGGAGCAACGGTTACGGCTTCGCGTAGGCGAGTTGCAACGGGAACGGCGGATCCCAATCGAGGTACGCCGAATCCCGAAAGAATCACTGGCGCGGACGGTGGAACCGCGGCTGCTCGGCGATGGCGGCGAGTGAGGGCTTCCCGACGGATGCCCGGCTTTTCTCCTCCTCTTCCCCACCCCGGTGCCGCTGGGAAGGTTTGTAAATAAAGATTTTTGCCTTTTCTATGAAAAATGAAGGGGACCGGCTGGGGTCTGGGGGGAAGGGGGAGCCGGGAGAGCGGCCCCGAGTCGGTTTTGCTCCCCAATCCGGCAGAAAGCGGTCGCGGGGAGAAATAAAATTCATTTTGCGTCTGTTAAATCGGTTCGGCGGGGAGCGGGAAGGAGCCGACGCTGCGGCGGGATCCGAGATCGATGGGGGAGCCCCGGTTGCTTTCCCCGAACCGGTTTAGGTCATCGATCAGGCCGAAAAATTGCGTCGGGGAGAAATAAACGGGTTTTGGGTCAAATCGGTGAAGTTGAAGCGGGTCGACGAGGCGAGGACGGGAGGGTTTTGGGGACCTGCTCCGTCTCCGGGCGGGCGAGCGAGAGGCCAGCGTAAATGTTTCCTTCCCAGCGGCGGTGGGGGGATTTTAAGCATCGTCCGCCCAAAAAAAACGCCGAAAACGACCCTCACCTACCTGAACCCAACAAATTGGATTTAAGGTTTTTAATTTCCGCAGCCGGCGTGGCAGGGAGGCACCGGGGCGGGATAGCGAGCGCCGAGACCAGCCCGTCACCCTCGTTGTGCTCCGACACCGATTTCAAAACTCCCCGAAGGAAGAGGGGGGGAAAAAAAAAAAAAATCACCTGATTAACCCCAAATTGGCCTCGCCGGTTGCCCCGAGGCAATTACCGCCTCAGGCCGTCGCGGAGATCCCGGCGCGGCGCCGCTCCTTCTTCTACAGGTTGAGCTTCATGGCCAAGATGGCGGCGTGGATGTCGGGGTTCAGGGGAACGTAGGATTTCTTCTTCTCATCGCGGAAGAAGAGGGGGTCTTTGATGACGTTGGGGTCGAAGCCTTCTTTGACGAGGTTGCCTTTGCACTGCTTGAAGGTCCCCGTGATCTCCAGGGCGTCCTGTGGAGGGGGATGATGTCATCAGGAACGCGTCACCGGCGTGGGGCGACCGGCATCAGAAACGGGGGAGGTCGACACCGTCATCGGCAACGGGGCAGGGGGGGGACGGGACACACACGACACCGGCGGTGGCGGCGGGACCCGGGTGCCACTGTTAGAAATGGCGGCCTCTGCGTCATCAGGGACACGGATGACGTCATCGGAAGCAGGGGGGGACCCGTACGGCGTCGTTGGCACAAGGTGACCACCGCAATGGCCGTCACAGGGAAAGGAGGGACCTTGACGCCATCATCGGAAAGGCGGCCGCCCCCGTCATCACCACGGGGTGACACTGATGATGTCATTGAGACTGGGTGACCGTCATCGGAAACGGGCGCCCGCGTTGCCAAATCGCCCAAAGGACTTAAACCCCCCCCCCCCCCGTCGTCCCTCCCCGAAGCCACCGCGACGGCGCGCGACGCCGGGACCGCTGACCTGGATGCGCACGAAGCGGGGCGCGGCGTAGCCGGGCAGCGTGTCCGCGGTGAAGGCGTAGAGGTTCTCGCCCTCGAAGCTCGCCCCGGCCTTCAGGCGGATGGCCGCCATGCCGCACCTCCCCTCGCACCCTGCGAACAACGCCCGAGTCTCGTTTCAGGCAACCGAGTCTCGTTTTAGGCAACCGAATCTCATTTTATTCTTCTCGGTGGCCACTTGGGCCATCGTGGGGACCTGTTGCGTGCCCAAAGCGATGTTGGACGCTTCTTTTGGGTGGACGCGTCCCACTTTAGCCGCCTTGGACCACGATGGGGGCGCATCGTGTGCCCAAAACAAGGCGGCGCTTATTTTGGGCAACTGAGCCTCCTTTTACTCTTCCTGGTGGCCACGTGGACCATCATGGAGCTGTGTCAGTTGCCCAGAACACCAGCAGATGGTGCTTTTGGGCAACCAAGTCCCATTTTACCTTTCTCGGTGGCTACTTGGACCATTGCAGGGGCATGTTGCATGTCCAAAACGATGCTGGACGCTTGATTTGGGCAAACAAGTCCCCAGTGTAACCTTCCTGGTGGCCACTCAGACCTTTACAGGAGCCCATTTTGTGCCAAAACCATGCCAGAGACTCATTTTGGGTCAGTAAGTCCTACTTTAGCCACCTTGGTGGTCAGTTGGACCATGACGTGGACATGTTGCTTGCCCCAAACAACACTAGATGCTTCTTTTGGGCAAGCTGGTCCTGTTCTACTCTTCTTGGTGGCCGTTTGGACCATCGTGGTGGTAATCGCGAGCCCAAAATAACACCGGACTCTTTATTTTGGGTCAATGAGTCCTGAAATCGTCAGGCAAGTTGGACTAGGTGATCACTGTAGGTCCCTTCCGTGCTACTTCAGGCTCCTCGGTGGCCGCTCAGACCATGTGGGGAACCACGTCACGTGGCTGAAACGTCACCAAATTCTTATTTCGGTCCGACTCGCCCCCACTGCACCACCCGCTACTCACCCGGCACGGGCACTCCGTAGACGTTGACCTCCTGGATGAAGTTCACCGTGGCAAGAATGGCCTCCACCTCTGTCGTGGCCACGTTCTCACCTTTCCAACTAGGAAAGAGAAGGGATGAAGCTGTGACGGGGCGGGGATTTGGGCCGACGGGTGGCATTGTCCACACGGACATGAGAACATCAGAAATTACCGGAAAGTGTCTCCCACGCGGTCCTGGAAGTAGACGAATCTTTCGTGGTCAATCATGAGGAGGTCACCGCTGTTGAAGAAGGTGTCGCCTTTGACTAAGACGTCCCTCAAGACCTTCTTCTCTGTCTTCTGGGAATCGCCCGCGTAGCCGTGGAAAGGGGTGTTCTTGGTGATTTTGATGACCAACAGCCCCGTCTCACCTTCGGGGAGGGAAAGGAGGGTTGGAGATCGGTCAGCAACTGCCTCGGCGGTGGGGGATGTCACCTCCGTGCCCCACCGGGTGCTCGGGGATGACGTTCCTGTTTCTTTGAGGGGTTTCTGGTGGCTTCCAGCCACCAAGATGATGGTGATGAGGACCAAGAGGTGGCTTTGATGCATCTCAACCTTCTGTCTGCCCCCCTTTCCTCCCAAAAAGGCCCTCGTGAGGTTCGCCTCTTCTTACCGGGGCGGGTTCGGATGCAGAGACCTCGCTCGTCACGTATGGGTTTGTCCTCCTCCACGTTGTACTTGATCAGCTCAAAGGGAGCCAAACTCTGGAGGGCAGAAGAAACAGATGGGTGGAAGAGAAACGGGGAATTACAAAGAGCGAGACGGCTTTCCTTCCAGTGCCAGGTCCGCTGCTCCGTCATTCGCTCGTGACAACCCACAGAAACGCACCCCGCCCCCGCCCCCAAATCCCAACATCCAATTGTTTTCCATCCCAACTAATCGCCCTTTCTATTTAAATAAGATTTCAGCTAATCGATTCAACCATTGACCAAACTCATCGTGATATCTTCAGAATCAAAGAGCCGTGGGAGAACGCTGAGCGCTGCAACCGTGGGAAGAGGGCGGAGAAAACCTTATTTTCGCAGCTTTTGCTCAACACGGGGGGTGGTTGGGGACTGAGATGTGACACCGAGGTGGCATTTCTCAGGGCTATAGAGGTGTCCGGGTCACCACGGACACCAAAACCAGACCTTGAGTCAACGCTGTTGAGTCAACGTTGGCCAACCAGGTGGAGGGGAATCATTTTGGATGTGGTAAAGGGGGTCCTGGAGATCCTGCTTTTGTATCAACCCAACCCGATGGACGGCGTTGCCTTCCCCGAGGAGGTCACCGTTGGCGCCGCCGTGAATGACGGTACCCTGGAGACCCCCGCTCTTGGCATCAACTCAACTTGGGGTGCGGTATTGGTCTCCCCAAAGCCGTCGGCGTTTGCTTCCCGCGTCATTGTCATCGCCAGCGGCTCACCTTGAGGAATATGTTCGCTCTGCCAACGGCCCCGATCTTGCCGGTGTAGTTGATGAAGCCGGCGTTGCCCTCGGTGGCTCCGTAAAATTCCCAGATGGAGATGGGCCCGAAGCGCTGGAGGAACTCCTTCCACACCTCTGCCCGCAGGCCGTTGCCCAAGGCCACGCGCACCCCGTGCTCCCGGTCATCGGGGCGCTGGGGGGGGGGGGGGTGACAAAAGGGAGGGAGCGTCTCGGCGTGCGCCCCGCGGCATCGCCTTCCCCCCAGGGTGGATTTCAGGCTGGTGGGGACCTTACCTTGGGCGTGTTGCAGAGGTAGCGCATGAGCTCACCCACGTACTGGATGACGGAGACGTTGTAGCGGCGGCAGTCGTCCCAGAACCGGGAGGCGGAGAACTTGGCCCGTAGGACGCAGGTGGCTCCTGCGGGGACGCGGCAGGGTGATGGTCGCCCCTCCCCTTTTCCTTGTTTTCCCTTTTCTCCATCCATCCATCCATCCATCCATCCATCCATCCATCCGTCCATCCATCCATCTCCATGAGCATCTGTCCTCTCCGTTCGCCCCCACAGTCACCCGTTGTCTACGTAGACACCCTTCTCCTTTTCTGTCTTCTTTTCATCCCACTCTTCCCTTTTCCATCCCTACGCTTTCTGCCATCCGTCCGTCCGTCCGTCCGTCTAGCCGTCCATCCCCCCGCTAATCCACCCATCGCTATGGAGATCTTTCTCCTTTTCTCTCTCTCCTTTCCTTTTCTTCCCTCCATCCTCATGTTTTTCCATCATCCTTCAGTCCATCTCCAGAAGAAGTCTGTCCATCCCTATCTAAAAAATAATCTCTAGCCAATCCGTCTCCATAAAATGTCCGTCTGTCCCTCTCTTTAAAATATCCACCTCCATAAAACATCTATCCATCCATCCATCTCCGTAAAACCTCCATCTCCGTAAAACCTCCATCTCCATAAAACAGCCGTCCGTCCATCTAAAATGTCCACCCATCCGTCTGTCCATCCCACACGTTTCTCCGTCCGTCCGTCCATCCAACACCTCTCTCTGCCTGTCCTCGCCTGCACCCCGTCCCAACGCCGGCCGGGCCACGCGGGGCGCGGGGGATACGTACCGACCTCCAAGCATCCTCCCACCCCGATGAGCAGCCCGGCCGAGTGGTAGAGCGGCAGCGTTGTGTAGATGACATCATCAGGCCGCAGGCCACAGAGCTGAACCAGGTTGGCCACCATCATCATCTTCATCTCTGTGATCACCGCTGCCTTGGGCAGCCCTGGGGAGGGGGTGGGAGCAGAGGGTGGGAAATGTCCTCCTTGGAGGTGGTTGTGTGGGACGGGAGGTCCTGGGGATGAGGGGTGGGATGGGAGGTCCAAAGCCTTCCCTCAGGGTGGTGGGTCTCCATCCCTAGAGGTCTCCAGACCTCGCTGGGAGGAGCCATGAGGAACCTCATCCAGATGCGCCTGCGTTGGTTGGGATGGGATCTGGTTTGGGTTCAGGGTTGGATGAGGGAGGTCCCACCTCACCCCATCCCAACGAGGACAGACCCAGGGACGTGCTGGGTCTCCATCCCTAGAGGTCTCCAGACCTCGCTGGGAGGAGCCATGAGATCCAGATGCGCCTGTGTGGGTTGGGGTGGGATCTGGTTTGGGTTCGGGGTTGGGTGAGGGAGGTCCCACCCTGTCCCAACGAGGACAGACCCAAGGAATCTCCATCCTTGGAGATCCCCAACCCTCACATGGACACAGCCAGGAGGAACCTGGCCCAGGTGGACCCATGATGATCGGGGTTGGAGAAGAGCCTCCACAAGACCCCCTTCCAACCTCCCCAACATCACCTTCTCCACGCAACCCACGGGGGACAACCTCCTCTGGCTCCTCACCCATCGCACCCAAACCCTCCCGGTCGCCGTTCTCCAAGGAGAAGACCCTCCTGCCTTTGGGGTTTCTGTCCCCACAGCCTCACCGGTGGTGCCGGAGGTGTAGATGTAGATGGCTTTGGAGTTGGCGGTGATGTTGGCGCGGTGGTGGGTGGGCACGGGTTCATCGGAGGCCTCCTCGATGGCGGGCAGCAGGGCTTCGACGCCCGGCGTGGGCGACGTGGAGCTGAGGTAGAAGACGCGGATGCCGTCGCGCTGCAGGGCCGGCAGCACCTCCTCCACGGCGGCCTGGAGCTCTGGGGTGGGGAGAGGGGGACGCAGCCCCGGTGGGGGTCCCCAGGTGGGTGAGCATCCAAGAGGGGAAGCCAAAGGGTCAGGGGTGGGCACCCAACGTACCCCAAAGGGGCACCCCGATGGGACGGGCGCCCCGGGCATCATGGATGGGTGCCCCAAAGACCCCAAATGGGTGCCCCAAAGACCCCAAATGGGTGCCCCGATCAGATGAGCACCCTGGGCATCACGGATGGGTGTCCCGAGGATCCCAGCCGGGCACCCAGCACACCCCAAATGGGCGCCCCGATCAGATGGACACCCCGGGCATCACGGATGGGTGCCCCAAAGACCCCAGATGGGCACCCAATACACCCCAAATGGGTGCCCCAAGGACCCCAGATGGGCACCCAACGACCCCTTGATGGGGCAGGGACCCCAACCATCCCAAATGGGCACCCGAAGGACCCCAGGCGGGCACCAGGCGCGCCCCAAAGAGGGACCTCAGTCGGGTGGGCACCCTGGACGGGTGCCCCGAGGAGCCCGGGCAGGGCCGGCACCCACCGTAGCCCACACGGGAGCCCCGAGGATCCCAGCCGAGCACTCAGCACCCCAAAAGGGCTCCCCGATCCCCCCCACAGAAGCACCTGGAGGCTCCCCTAAGGGTGCCCCGATCCCATGGGTGCCCCCAGCACCCCCAAGGGGCACCCTGCCCCCCCCCACGGCACGCTCCCCGCTCCCCCCCACAGAAGCACCTGGAGGCTCCCCTAAGGGTGCCCCGATCCCATGGGTGCCCCCAGCACCCCCAAGGGGCACCCTGCCCCCCCCCAGGACGGGCACCCATTGCGCCCAGCCCCCTCCTACCCTCTTTTTTTTTATTTTTTCCTATCTCCTCGCCCCGAAAATATGACGGAAAAAAAAAAAAAAAAAGAAAAAGGGACCTTTACCCCGGGAAGGGGCCGGTGATGATTAACCTGTGGCCTTGGCACGGCCACTGCAGCCCGGCACGCTCGCCGGGGCGCCGGCGTGTCGCACACGCGTGTGCGGAGGGCTGCACAAGCGGCCGCGAGGACGTCGTGCGAGGAGGGGGGTGGGGGTGGGGGGTGAAAAATACAGCCCCGGCGCGAACAACCCCTCGCACGCTCAGGGCAAACGGCGGCGGCGTGCCTCGCACCCGCAGGCGTGCCGCAGGCGGGGGTGCAAGAGCACGCGTGCAAATGCAGGCGCAGACACCGACACGCGTGCACACACTGACACACGTGCAAACGCACACGCAGACACCGACACGCGTGCAAATGCACACGCAGGCTCCGACACGCGTGCACACACTGACACACGTGCAAACGCACACGCAGACACCGACACGCGTGCAAATGCATGTGCAGACACTGACACGCGTGCAAACGCACACACAGGCTCCGACACGTGTGCACACACTGACACGCGTGCAAACGCACATGCAGACACCGACACGAGCGCAAACGCACACACAGACACTGACACGCGTGCGAATGCACACACAGGCTCCGACGCGTGCACACACTGACACACATGCAAACGCACATGGAGACACCGACACGCTTGCAAATGCATGCGCAGACACCGACACGCGTGCACACACTGACACGCGTGCAAACTCACCCGCAGACACCGAAACGCGTGCCAACGCACGCACATGCTGACACACGTGCAAATGCACGCGCAGACACCGACACGCGTGCAAACGCACGCACATGCTGACACGTGTGCAAATGCACGTGCAGGCTCCGACACGTGTGCACACACTGACACGCGTGCAAACGCACATGCAGACACCGACACGAGTGCAAACACACACGCAGACACTGACACGCGTGCAAATGCACGCACATGCTGACACGCGTGTGAATGCACGCGCAGACACTGACACGTGTGCACACACCAACACGCGTACAAACGCACACGCAGACACTGACGCACGTGCAAATGCACGCACTGACATGCGTGCAAATGCACGCGCAGGCTCCAACATGCATGCACACAGTGACACACGTGCGAATGCACGCGCAGGCTCCAACACGCGTGCACACACTGACACACGTGCAAACGAACATGCAGACACCGACACGTGTGCAAATGCATGCGCAGACACCGACACGCGAGCACACACTGACACACGTGCAAACTCACCCGCAGACACCGACACGCGTGCCAACGCACACACATGCTGACACGCGTGCAAACGCACACGGAGGCTCCGACACGCGTGCAAATGCACGCGCAGACACCGACACGCGTGCAAACGCACGCACATGCTGACACGCGTGCAAATGCACGCGCAGGCTCCGACACGCATGCAAATGCACGCGCAGACACCGACACGCGTGCAAACGCACGCACATGCTGACACGCGTGCAAATGCATGCGCAGGCTCCGACACGTGTGCACACACTGACACGCGTGCAAACGCACACGCAGAGACACCGACACGCGTGCAAACGCACGCACATGCAGACACGCATGCGAATGCTCGCGCAGACTCCCAACATGCGTGCACACACTGACACACGTGCAAATGCACGCGCAGACACCGACACGTGTGCACACACTGACACACGTGCAAATGCACGCACAGACACCGACACGCATGCACACACTGACACGCATGCAAATGCATGTGCAGACACCGACGCGCGTGCAAACGCACACGCAGACACCGACACACATGCAAATGCACGCACATGCTGACACTCATGCAAATGCATGCAGACACTGACACGCGTGCACACACCGACACGCATGCAAACGCACGCACACCCTGACATGCATGCAAACGCACACGCAGACACCGACACGCGTGCAAACACACACGCAGACACCGATACGCGTGCAAACGCACGCACATGGTGACACACGTGCAAATGCATGCGCAGGCTCCAACATGCATGCACACACTGACACACGTGCAAATGCACGCGCAGACACCGACACGCGTGCACACACTGACACACGTGCAAATGCACGCGCAGACACCGACACGCGTGCAC